ACTGGGTTTTTCTGGTCCGGGTCCAGCTGATACTTTCACCATTGACGGACGTAAAAGCCTTTCACCGAGCACGAAACCTTTCCTGTATTCTTCAAGTACTATACCCTCTTCGTATTCCGCAGAATCCTCTCTCATTATTGCCTCATGAAGCTTTTACACATCAAAGAGAAAAGGCAAAAGGATAAAAGAGATGTCAGCTGTTAGAAGTTTGGAGAGACCAACAAACAAAGGCATTAGGTAAAGTTAACTACCAACTCACTGAAACCCCATCACCGCTCGGTAAAGTCTCTAAAACTTTACTGATATGTATACTTAGTACTAGACACATTAGCGCTTATGTTCTTCAAACTTTTCAATAACCAAAAGGCATCTCACTAGGATAAGAGATTCTAAGCCCCATTTGATTCATCCATCTAGCCATCTTTCAAAGTAACAACTGCATCTACGTTCTGCTCAGGATTTATCCCAGCTGCACTATACAAACGAGTTATCCTAATCTCAAACAATTTTGATTTCAAAGATCGCCTCCTTGGTTAAAGATCAACCACCAGTAACCAGAGCAACAAAAATACATTTCTTGATCGCCCGAAAGAACAAAGATATATAGTAACTTACCATTGGATCAAACTGCTTGCCGACTGTCTCCACATGGACAACACCAAGTGAGCCCAGAATTTCTACAAACTGTTTGTATATGCTCTGATAGCTGTTAGTGACTTTCTCTTCTCCTTCAGTCTCCACCTTAATTTGACTTTTAGCTCTCTCGAAATTATCCAAAACAGCCAGTAGATTCTCTACAACCTCTCCTTGAGCATTTGAAACAAGGTTTAGCCTTTCCCTCTCTGTCCTCTTCCTGAAATTGTCGAAATCTGCACTGATTCTTATCAGCCGATCCCTCTCCACGGACAACTCATCGGACAAAGACGCTACTTTTTTCTCTAGCTGAATCTTTTCCTCTTCAATAGACTTTAAGGATGCTTCTATCTCAGCAATCTTCCCTTCATTGTTCTCTGTTAAAGCTTCTTTATATGAATTCAGCAATGCTGTGATAACCGCTGCTTCTTCTTCCTCTGCTTCACTCCCCTCAGCATCCTCAACACCAATAGCACCATCTGTCTCCTGGTCCACGAAACATCGCATATTAATTCATGCTAAATTGAGACAAACAGAATCCTGTGCACACACTATCGACATAAATTAATGACATATACAATCGCGTTAACGCCAAAAGCCATCGGACATTCTATCTGACCTCAATCCAACATTCACAGAATCATTTTGTTGATCATAGTAGGATACGGTCTCATTTGTCAAAACACCAATGAAACTTGTCCATTTCAGGGATACATAATGCCACAAGAATCTCAAATCTGCCATTCATAGGACTAGGTGTATACTTGGCAACATTGACAATCACCATTTCAAGCGTTAATAGATTGAATACGAATCCTAATAATTGCTCTTATTCATCCTTCAAAGTGTATTCTAATCAACAAAGCTTAAATTTTTGAGCAAAGAACAAACAGATCCTATATTACCATATCCCAAGTTCTCAAATTTCAACAATAAAAACTCTTTAAAAATTCTAAATTAAGTACATGAGTATCCCAATTTCGAAACCCTAAATTCTAATCACCCAATTAACAATGAATAGTAAACAGAAATTTGAGCCGCAATTCAAAAACCTGGATTTCGGGTTCGCTGGATTCCACTTCTGTCTCCGTCGTCTCGGCTTCTCCCGAAGCAAACGGAACGAGGTTTAGTAACCGGAGAGGATGGCGACCGGAGACTAACCGGAGGGAAGCTCGGCGAGAGAGTGAGACGCTGGCGTTTCTTACTCCAGCGAAGGAGACGCAAAACGGCTTAAAGGGTAGAGAGGGAGCATGAAGAAGAGTCGGAGTGAGATGTAACGACGGCGTTTTGAGTAGACCGGCCATTGGAGGGTTCGGAGGTCG